TCTACCGTACCTAACATCTAATGGATGATCACTGAATGGAAATCTGAGTATTTCTTTTTGGTTCTTGAAAACTTTCGTTTCCTCATAAATAGAAACAGGTAAAAGACCTAGAAAATTAAAGATCACACTCATTTTTCATCTAGTTCGAAAAGTGACTTGACTTGCTTTTTTCCTTCTTTTTGATTCCCTTATCAACATCAAATGACGCTTAACGAGCAAATACTGTCCCGAGACTAAGTATGTGACATCGAAGTGTTTCTATTTTTCATCGTACCATGCTCAAATTGGGTCTCATCATCTTTCGAAAGAATAGATGTGTAGTATTTCGATCGATGATTGAAATGAATATCAAGAAGAAAATAGAGAGAAATATAGAGGAATCCCATTTCGAGAATTTTCAGAAACGTGTGTAGGAGGCGAAGATGTGAAATGGATATTCGAGTGAAAATGGCTCACACATTCCTACTAGAGTGAGTACTAGATACACTCACATGCATTTACACCACCACAGAAATACATACATATATACACCAGAATTGCTAATAAGCGCCACTTTCGGCGGCACCGTGTCCTTCTATCTCTTCGCCATTTTCTGGCAGTGCTCGGTGACGCATGCAAAACTACGGAGAAGATGGTAGTGACGGTCTCGGGACACTACACAGCCACGCTGGCAGGAAAAGACACATTAAAAGTGTTGGAGAGAGGAAAAGAGGTGTGATAAGAAGAAAAACTGAAGAAAAATTGGGAAAAGAAACAGAGGAAATGGAAAAAGTATCCGGAAAGGCAAAGTTGAACAGAATGCTGATTAAAGTGTTCTGAACAAGACCTACAGTAACCTAGAGGTAAACATCAATCAACTACCAAGCCACATTATTTTTGAGAATGTGTATTCGAAATCACCGCCACTGATGATTATCTGATGAGAGAGGTGCTTTCTCCGTACTTCCTCGTCTATCAAAGAGCGACCGAAAGGTTTTCGCAATCTCCCCATTATATTGCACAATGATCACCGTCAAACTACAAGCCTCTGACCTCTGTTTCTCTCGCTCTCTCCCCTCTCTCTCCGGAAGAGATCGAAAAAAATCAACGAAACATTAACAGGCAGCCGTTTAGAATTTAGGTCCGAAAATGTTTGGAAATGTGTGTGTGTGTGTGTGTGTGTGTGTGTGGCCCCAGGAGGACCACGAAACGTGGCGAGGGAGGAGAGGGTGTAAACAAGACGAAATTCGATCAAAGTGGGGTGAGAAGAAGAGGAGGTCATGGAACTCTAAGAAAATAGGTCGTTTTCCACAAGAGGAATAAAAGAAGTAGTAGATGGTGATGAGAGGAGACTTTAATGGAGCCATGGCACACTTGAACTCGGAGCAAAAGAAGCTACTGGAAATTAGGAGGACAGAGGTCTTATGACCCCATAAGGCTCCTTTCCTACCCAAGAGACTCGTTGTGCGCCCTCAATCATCATCGTGTGCCGGAAAATGAAAAATGCATTATTATGTTCAAGAAGTTTTCGGGTTGCAATTGACTGAGAGCGAGGGTGATTGAAAGAGGTTGATAAGATGAAAGTGGCCGGGACGGACAATCTTGTTAATTATTATCAGTTTGTTGATGATGTGGCAATTAATTATGTTTGCTCCGAATATAACTCCATTATGCTTCGCGGACGTTCTAATTTTCAGAACAGTCAGCTACAGTATTCGAAAATTCTGATTTTATGTAAAATAGAAAGCAACAAATGTCAGGTACTTTGTTGATTACTGAACAGTTACGACGTCATAAAACGAAAGTTTTCAACAAAAAAAATCAAAAGCTCAAAATCAACAGCGCTTGAAAATTTCAAGCCAGTTGTTTATGACTCTGCACGTACGATTCATAAAACTTCAAAAACGGAGCCGACACCCCATGACAAATTCATTCCAAAAAAGCAACGGCCGGCGACGACCGACGGTGTGTGTTATGGCTGCGATTCTCTCCTTCATCGCTCTTTTCCCCCCGTCATTGCACAGAAAAACAGATGAAAAATGCGGGACATGTGACCATAAAACACATTTTTTATTCGGCTCTACCTTCCTACCTCAGTGTATGCCTGGATAAGAACACTTTTGGTATCCCTAGGTGACGAGGGGAAATTTTAGGAAAATGTTTACAAAAAAAAAACAAAAGGCTGGTTACTATTAAGTATAGTTTACATTACAATTATAAACTATTTCGGAATGAAAATTTAACGAGAGCCGACAGGAATAGGAATTTTAAACATACTCTTGAGCAAGTTTTTAGGAACCAGTCAAAAATAAGTCAGTTCGGCGGGGCGAAATTTATCATTTATTATGAAAATACCCATTTACCAACACCTCGAGAGGTCTAACAATGAAAAAAGTGGTAATGGTAGTGTTGAGGGACTCCTTTCCATGTGTAGTAAATGGAAAACGATGTAAAGCGCGCAATGGAATGGAAAATTGGGGGCGGAGTGCCGTGCTACGGAGCAGTGGCAGTGCTCTCCAAGCCCTCTGGAGGAAGAGAAGAAGAAGAAGACGAGAGGGAGAGAGGGAGAAGGGTTGAGAGCAACGGAGAGCATGAGCTTCGAGATAGAGAAATAGCGACAGCCCGGAGGCCCTCTTTTGCCCCCGCTGGACGTAGTCAGTCACTTTCCAGTGTGACACTAGAGAGAATGGCCAGTGCTAGCGACAAAAGACAGAGACGATGGGGAGAAAAAGAAAACGAGGAAAACTCCGCCTTTTCTGATGCTCCTACTGTTGGAGCCTGCTCGACGCAAGTCAGCCAGATAGAAGAGAAAGAGAATGCCTGACGTCTTCTTCTTCTGCCGCTTCTGACAAAATAGAGTTGTTATGAGAGAGAAGAGCCGTTAAGATGAGAAAAAGAAGGGGGTGGGACCTATTTCTCACTCGTCAGTTTTTCGTTCTTCTTTTTTCTGCTTCTACTGTCTATGTCCGTTGCGAGAAGAGCAAAACTATCGGAGTGAGAAATGGACTGCGACTTTTTTTTTGTTTAAAAAAGTCGAAAATATCTATGAATGAATATAAGAGGAGGAGGAGAAAAAATGAAAAACGCGCATTTCTTCTCTTCCATTTTTGCGATTTATTTCATCTTTGTTTCTAAATAACTCATTATTTTTACTTGGAAAGAAAAAGGATCAACACTATTATAGTTCTCATCTTTTTGTCTTTGTGGCAAGGAAGGCAACTTTGTCACGGCGCCAACTTTTTTATCATAAGAAAAGAAGAAGAGGATGATCCTAGGAGGACGATGAGTGAGAGAGAGAGAGAGATCTTCTAGCACACACTCTCTGAGCACACATATATGCACACAATCTGTTCAGATGGATTATTTTTTCAGCTGCTTCAGCTTCTGCTCTAACACCGTCGGTTACTTCCATTACGGATGTTAACCGCGGTGGGGTGGTGAAGAAGAAAAAAGGAATATGGAATACCAAACAATCGGGAAATAAAAATTTCTGATAGTGAAAAAAATTGACTGAAAACTAACGAAAAAACCTTCGGCCACGGCCACCGGCGTTCCTCTTCCACAGTTCTGAGTTATTTAACCGAATAATATCAGGAGGCAAAGATAAAAAGCCAGCTACAAACTAACTATTTTTGTTTTTCGATTCCATCCACCCACCAGGTACCCTATTGTACCTACAAATTTCAGAAAACTAATTCTCGATCACAATTTTCACCTTCTGATCGAAGTTTTCAAAATACATCATCTCTTGAAATTATTAAGAAAATCCCTATTGGAAGAAAACACTAATTCCATTTCCGGCAGCCAGTAGTCGCTTGATCGACGAGCTTTCCCTCGGAGATTTCCCACGAACTTTGTATTTCACCTACTCTTTCTCTACTCCAGAGAAAATAATTCGCATGAGACCAATTTTTAATAATCACAAAGGTGTCGACGAGATTTGTATAAATTTGAGCAACTGTGACATCACACACCTCTGGATTTCTGATCTATAGGTTCTTAAAAGATTAGTCACACTCTGGAATTTTCACATATTTTTCTCCATCATCTTCATCTAAGCCTTAGATGGAAAAAGAGAGAGGGCTGATCGGATGAATTGTCTTGACGTAAAGACAACGAGAACGGATCGGCATGGAGATGAAATATTATATTAATCAAGACATCCGGAATTAAGCGGAGACAAGGAATATGTTCTGACATTCATGAATGTAATCATCAAAGTTTTCTTCTCCAGAACTTTTGATGCCCTATCAATGGATGACGTGACATCTTTTCAGATTACAGCCAGGCTTCACCTGCTCGAAACATAGTTTCATTCACTTTTTCGACTCCTTCGAATATCAGTAACAAGCTTGAAAAGTAAACACTCACGTACTGCTGGAAGTGAGAATCGGAGTGGCAAGCTGTCAGACTCATCATCCATATCACGCTCATTCATCTTTTTTCTTCTTCCGTAGTTTTTGGGTTTAGTGAGAACTGATCAAAAGAAAGAAGACGAGATCTCTAGCAAGGCAGAGAATCATCAATGAGAAAGGGAATGGAACATACTGTTCCAATTTTCGAGTACAAATAGAGGAAGCGGGGGAGGTTGAAATGCGGAGAAGAAATGATTGGACATCTCATAAACTATCTTCGATGCGCATTTCAAAAGTGTGACGGAAGCAACGATGACACGAAGAAACGGCCCATAAACAATTCGGAATGGGATTGAAATTGGAAAAGAGGAAAATGGAAAACGGGGAGAAGAGAAGGGATTAGAGAACAGTTGTTCTGGACATGAAAAAGTCAATTTGGAAATGACAAAGAAAGGACGAAGAAAGAGCCAGAAGAGTTGTTGTGTGGCTCCTAAAAGAAGTAGGTGGAGCCGAATCAAATAATAGCAAAAAGGAGACACGACTACACACGGGAGAAGAAGTCGACGACTCCTCGACGCGGCGACATGATTGAATTTAGAATAGGAAAAATAAGAAGAAGGAGGAGGAGTGGCGCGGAAGGAGACAAGTTGTCATGTGAGAAACAACATGAAGATGTACGTGGAAGAAAAAGGAGGCGGTACCGAAGAGAAGAGCAAGAAGCACCCAAAAAAACGGGGGAAACGTCTTCTGGTGGTTCTGGTGGTTCGATTGGGTGGTGGTGTGCTCGTCAAGTTGTGTAAGCGACAAGAACCACAAACAATAGCGGATGAATGCGGGAAAGTTTTGTGTGTATGTATGTGAGTGGATGTGAGTGAGGAAAACGAATGGAAGAGGACGGAAGAAGAGCCAGTGGCCGGACTAGAAGAAGAAGAAGCAGAAGAAGAAGAAGAAGAAGAAGTAGCACATGCCATACACACACCATTTCGGGAAGAAAAGTTGCGAAAGAAAAGATAGAAAAGGAGTTGGGTTTACGAATTTGAGTGAACCGACGCCGCTGGACTCTGACCACACTTTCTTCATCTTTTTTTTCGCTTTGTCCACAGGAAAATGCAAGAGAGTGGAGTCGAGAAGCCCTAAAAGTGGAACGAAAAATTCAAAAGCTATCTGATGATAGAGACAGAGAAAGAGAGAGAAAAAAAGGTTTTGAGAAAAGGCTTTGAATAATCACCTGTTTAAGAAACTCGGTTGCTGACAAAAAAGTGGTCATTTCACTGTTCATTCCAGTAGACTGATTTTAAGCTCTATTGAGAAAAAAGGCGAGAGAAAGAGAAAGTTCGCATCTTTACGGATTTCTAGATGTCCTCGAGTATAATTCTAGTCAAACTGATATTAATTAGGGCCTTTTCGGAATGTTGAAAATTCAGATTTCGAAAGTTTCGGAATTTTCTGATTTTCAAAATTTCGAAATTTTTCGAGACCCTGCAAATAGCGGAGAGAAAATTTTTCGGAGAAAAAATTTCCGGAGAAAATTGGGCGGAGTCAGGAAAAACCGTGCGGCAAAACCGTGCCAGGGTTGCAATTTAGGCTCCGCTCCCTCATGGCCGTGTCCAAATGTGCAAAAAACCGTGCCAGGGTTGCAGTTTAGTCTCCGCCCCCGACAGTCTACAAATCAAATCCCGAAAAAACTTTTTAAAGGTGGCCTACGGTGAAAATTTTTATTGTCTCAAAATGAGCAGAAAAGCACATAAATTGACATAAAAATATAGAAAAAATTCAAAAAAAATTCCTTCGTCGAGAAAAATGCATCGAAAAATAGCTTGAAAGCCCTTAGCGACGAGCTTTTTCACTTGTTTTTCTAGTTCATCTGGTGAGTAAAACATACTTGTAAAATTCCGGGCCGGCCCGCCAAAGTCCGGGCCCGGGCCTGAGGAAAATTTCAATGCCCGGGCCTGGCCCGGAAGGCCCGGTAGCAAAAATTTTGTCATTTTGAACCGAATTTTGAGCTCTCAATACAATTTTCTATATTTTTTTTGTACTTTTTGGATTGTTTGTCTGTTTGATAAAAAAATATCGAAAAAAAAACTCGAAAACAAATTTTTGATCGAAAAAAATCACATAAGGGTCCCCCTTATGTGTTTTTTGAAAATTTCAAAACTTGTGGAATGACAGACCCGCCGGGCCGGGCTGGGCCTNCAAAATTCGGGAAAAAGCCCGGCCCGGCCCGGCCCGTTACAAGTA